AAAAAAAAAAAAAAAAAAAAAGAATGTGATCCTCTGTCTTCAAAGAGCTTGACTGATACTGTTGTTTTACTTAATTCTCTAGTCCTTTTATGTTTAAATATATTCACTTACCTCTGGTGTCTTCATCAGATTTCCTTTTCCTAAGTCCTTCTGGGCTACTTGCTTTAGAGAGTATGAATACTATCTACACATAGGACTAGAAATATAACAGAAGGAACAGGACTGGAAATATGTGAGGAGGTATAGCTTTTATTGGCATTTTTAAAGGGGGCAAAGGGATGGTAAATAGTGGTTATCACAGGCGTATTTCAAAAAACTAGGAATCTCAATTCTTTATTATTTCTATTTCCTTGGAAGGTATTGAAACTAGAGATAGTAAATACTGTTTTCTGAAAATGAGAGAGATCATGAATTTCTTTCATCCTTTGAAAGAAAAGAGGAAGAGGATCTTATAATTTACTATTTTGTATTTACCAGAGGGAAGAACATATTCAACTGTTTTATACCTGTAAGCCAGACAACTTATGATGGTATCACTAATGTTTAGGGAGAGTCCTGCTATACTGCTGTTACTGGATTTTCTAATTTCAACCTATTATAATCGCTACCTAATACCTAATAGTCTTCATTTTTTTTGTATCTGTTTGTACTGAAGCATAGTTAAAAGATAAACTATAAAATTTAATGTCAGTAACTTCTATATGTGGTTGGCTTTAAGACTCCTGGTATAAGAAAATGGCTTTGAAAAATTGTGTTTATGGGAAGGAGAGTAGCCAGCAGGGAAGTTGTGGGTGTGGTGGTGTGTTGTGGCACGGAAGGCGTGTACAGGCTGGGCGAGTGGGGACATGAATGTATGAGTGTGTATGCATGGGGCCTGGTTGGTGAGTGTGTGCACCTCCCTACGCCCCTTCCCCTTTAAAAAAAAAGAAAAATTATGTTTGCCTTTGAAAGACTTTTGGAAAGCAGTCTACTAGTGTTGTATTGACAGATGTATATATGTATATTAATATGTATATATTTTTTCTTTAACGAGGCAACATAAGTATGTTACTTCCATGTGTGGATGTTTTTAGAGTATATTTTGTATTTAAGTTAAATAAAGGAATATTTGCAATTGTAGACCAACCTCAGGAGGAGAAGCAGGATACTTTGGCAGAAAAATTAGTTACTCAGATCATAAAAAATCTTCAAGTGAAAATTTCCAGCATCCATATTCGATATGAAGATGATGTAAGTATTCATCTTCAACAAATAGGTGACTATTTATTTTTATATTCATAGTGTAAGTTATTTTACTGTTTATTGACACTTACTCTGTAGTGGCCAACCTATTAAATGCTGGGAGATGGAGAGATACAGAGCTGAAGATGACGTCTTTCTTTTCTGTAATTATAGGTGAATTTACAGTAATCAGTCCTTGATTTTACTCTTTCCTAAAATGGAAAGTTTCCTGATCATGAAGGAAAAAGCCTCAGGAGTTATAAATTTTATCGTTAATTAAAATATGTTCTGCTTAACCCCTGGACCAGTGGTTCTTAACCTTCCTAATGTCGCAGCCCTTTAATACAGTTCCTGTGGGTCACAACCCACAGGTTGAGAACTGCTGCCCTCGACAGACCACTGGTTTAGGAATCAGTAGATCTACACTAAACTGCTTGATTTTAAACGGGTCATTTGTTCTCTCTTAACGCGTAATTACTTGCTTTATAATCTAATTTGTGTCCGTGTTTTTTTAAATAAAACTTATTTTGTAAACTGAAAAACATGCCTATAGAGCATTATTATACAACGCTGATACATCAGTAGTGTTCTGATTTACTTTAGGGAAAATATAGGAATAGTTATTCTGGAAAATTAGTAAAGTTTTTGAATGTGGGAAATAGGATACTTTTTTATAAAGTGATTTTTTTTCCAACTAAAATTCTAAGTAAAATTTACTTTCTTTTCTCTTTAGATTACTAATCGAGACAAACCACTGTCATTTGGTATTTCCCTTCAAAATCTCAGTATGCAGGTACTTGGATGTTAAAAAAAATCTTAACCATATTTAATTGTGTAGTATGGTCAAACTACTAATTACTATTTGCAAATGCCAGCATCAGAAATAAGTGTCTATATAGAATTGGTGCAGAAAGGGTGTAGATTGGATTGGAATTGAGGATAGATAATGTTCACAGTTCAAAAAATTGTTGACAATCAAATTTAGTTTAAAATACAAGGGCATATTATTGGTAATTACGACGTTAAATGCTTTTGCTTACAAAATTCATTTCTAAATTTTTAATGAGTTAGTACAAAAGTAACAAATATTCATATTGAAACTTTGATAAATCTTGAAAAACATAAAAAAATTATTTGTTTCTTTACCACCATTATGAATATTGTGGCATAATTTCTTTGTTTAATTTTTGTAATGAGGGATTTAAAAAATAGAGGATCACAGATTTATGAAACATTGCTTGCCTCCAGAGTGAATGGATACTTACATTTTTCATTTGCTTGTAGTCTTAAATATTTTTATAGGAGTGAGCTATTATGAATAAAGTTTAAATCCCTTTTGTTCTCTATTTTCACCTATCCATCCTCCCCAGAGATTATCATCCTAAGTTTTGAAACTTTTACATAATATTATCATTAAAAATATATATAATACTATTAAAAATGTAGCTTTTAAAAGGTTTACATAAATATTTCCGTGTAGGTTCCTTTTCCACTTTACAGTCTTTTTTATTTTTTTTTATGAGACAGTCTCACTATGTCACTCTTGGTAGAGTGTTGTGATGTCACAGCTCACAGCAACCTCAAACTCTTGGGGCCAAAGCGATTCTCTTACTTCGGCCTCCCAAGTAGCTACAGGCACCCGCCACAACGCCTGGCTATTTTTTTGTCATAGTTGTCATTGTTTGGCAGGCCTGGGCCAGGTTTGAACCCTCCAGCTCCGGTGTATGTGGCTGGCACCCTAGCTGCTGAGCTACAGGCACCGAGTCCACTTTACAGGTTTTTTTGACATTTATCCATGTTGCCATCTATAATACCATCATTCAGTTTAACTGTTGTGTAGTATTTTATTACATGCTTTTATTTGTCGTATCTGTTAGATTTTGGGTATGATTTCTTTAAAACCTGGCTCCACTGCAAGCAAAAAGAAAAATTAAAAAGAATAGCCAAAGGAAAAGTTATTTAGTAAAGAAGGGTGGGGTAAACTGTCAAATGTTACTCTTAGATTGAAAAATAAGGACAGAGAATTAGCCCTTAGATTTGGCAGTGTGAAGATCCTTGGTAACCATGTCAATAGTGGTTTTAATCATTACCTTGGAGGTTCTTGGAAACCCAGACCTACAGAAACCTAGCCAGGTGTAGTGGTGGGCACCTGTAGTCTCAGCTACTTGGGAGGCTGAGGCAGGAGGATGGATCAGGCCCTAGAGTTTGAGGTTGTTGTGAGCTGTGATGCCACAGCACTCTATCCAGGTTGACAGAGTGAGACTCTATCTCAAAAAAAAAAAAAAAAAAAAAAAAAGTCTAGGGTTGGGAATTGAGTGATCTATATTTTAAAAATCCTTCCAGTTGCTCCTAATGGATACCTATGTTTGAGAACCACTATTCTAATTAATCCTTTCCGTTCTCTATATAAAAATGAAAATCGTCTTTCTAAAATAAAGATCTGATGACTGTTCTCATGGTTTTCCACTGTGGTTAGAATAAAGTCTCGGGAGGCGCCTGTGAGTAGGGCACCATCCCCGTATGCCGGAGGTGGCGGGTTCAAACCCAGCCCTGGCCAAAACTGCAAAAAAGAAAAAGAAAAAAAAAGAAGAAAGTTTTATGTTTAAGAAAAGAATAAGTTTTGTGTTTAAATAGCATATGAACTTTTTTTTGTAATGTAACTCCAAGTAACAGTTCACCTCTTTTCTCGTTTTTTATTATATTCTCTGGCTACCCTGAACTGCTTTAGTTCCTTGACCGTGACATGTATTTACATACCTTCATGCTCCTCCTGCTCTGAATTACATTTCCTATCAGTCTTAGAATCAATGACTTTAATCTATATGTTACATGTTAGGTTTACATATAACATTAATTTGTCAATCTCCTGAATTTGAGGCTTCTGCCATATTCTCTCAAGTGAACTGTGTCTTTAATCCCATTGTAGCACTAACTTATGTATAATTGCTTGTTTTTGTTTGGTTTTATGATCAGTAATAGGCTTCTTGAAAGCAGAAACTTTTTTGTGGTTGTTAGTATTCTTTGACTTAATGATATATTTTTAAACGCATTTTCATGGGACATTTGTCTAGGGCATGATAGTTAATGATTTATCACTCTGCCATTTCAAATATGATGACCTCATTACTGTTTTTCTTTTTTTTTTTATTTTCAGACAACTGATCAATACTGGGTTCCGTTTGTACATGATGGAACTGAGAAACTAGTTCGTAAGGTAAAATAAATAAATAATATATTTGTCAATCCCTGGACTTGATGAAAGAGAATTTTAGAGAGAAAAATGGTAATATATAAACAAGGACTTAAAGGAAATGTATTCTTTTTGCTTAATTCTGTTGATACAGCTTAGTTATTTGAGACTTTTGAAAATAGTTTGTTAAAAATTCTTCAAAGGAAATGAGACTTGTAATAAATTTTATTTTCAGTTAATCCGATTGGATAACCTTTTTGCCTATTGGAATGTGAGGTCTCGGATGTTTTATCTTAATGATTATGATGAATCATTGGTAAGTAAATTTTTGATCTATGTATATTTTTTATGGGTACTATCTTTTGCATAAGGTTATTTTATTGTCTTTTATGTAACACACTATAGGTAGTATTTTTTTTCTAGGCAAAATCCATTATCAGAATTTACAGGAATTGGTGAATATGTATGTGCCCACATACAAACATGTACACACACACATACTGTAATAGTTCCTGGAGCTTTCTTTTATAATAGTGGTTTAATGGGATGTTGTTTAACCACTTTAATATTTTGCTATACCTAAGTTCTCCTAAGTTTGAGTTATTTATTTTCTTAAATTGCTTCTAAACATTTTTATTTTGTAGGTAATAGGATTTTTTTTAGGATAAAGATATATTGGCATAGTATAAATGAAAGCAATTTGTCTTTTAATAGGATAACTTGAGGAAAGGCATTGTCAGTGAAAGTCTTGTTCCACAAGGTTATGATTTTGGTAAGTGCATTTCGTAAAGTAAAAAACGTAATTATTAGAGGTTTTAAATTAACATCGTTGATATCACTAATATTTCATGTTAAATTTTCTCTTGTACAGTTAAATATACTTATATATACAAAAGCAAAAAATTATATTTTCTTTATACTTTATTGTTGTAGATCCTTTTACTATGTATCAAAATTATATGGTAAAAAGCCCAATAAAAGAGGGTGTAAATAAATTCTGATAAATTTCTAAGGATTATTCAGTAACAATTTGGCTGACATTTATAAAGACATTTTGAAATGTCAAGTATAGTTTAATAAGGCTAGTTCCTACAGCCAGTAAGGTGATTTTACTATTTTAAAAATGTACATTTAAATTTTCTTTCATTTATCCTGTTTTCCAAATTTTCTAAAATGAATATATATTACTTTAATAATCAGAAATGGTGGCTCAGCGCCTATAGCTCAACCGGCTAAGGTGCCAGCCATGTACACCTAAGGTGGTGGGTTCGAATCCCCAGCCTGGACCCGCCAAACAACAATGACGGCTGCAACCAAAAAATAGCCAGGCGTGGCAGGCGCCTGTGGTCCCAGCTACTTGGGAGGCGGAGGCAGGAGACTCGCTTGAGCCCAGGAGTTGGAGGTTGCTGTGAGCTTGAGGCTTGAGGCTCTGTCTCAAAAAAGAAAAAAAAAATCAGAAATGGATTATTAAAATATACAGGGAAAAGGAGTGCTGTTCCCTGTTCTCTGAGGGCCCTCATTACATGTTTATTGGTAGTA